GTAACTATATTGATTTTTTTGGAATAATTTGTGACTAGACAATTACAATTTTTTTCAAGTCAAGGCCTCACTCTGTCACCCCAGACTGGAGTGCACAGTGTCACAATCACAGCTCACCACAGCCTCAATCTCCTGGGCTCAAGTGATCCTCCTGCCTCAGCTTCCCAAGTGGCTAGGTGCATACACACCCTGCTAATTTTTTTGATATTTTTGTAACGATAAGTTCTCACTTTATTGCCCAGGCTGGTCTCAAACTCCTGAGCTAAGCGATCCTCTTGCCTCTGCCTCCCGAAGTGCTGGGATACAGGTGCAAGCCATCCTGCCTGGCTTACAATTTCCTTTTCTTTTTTTTTGAGTTGGAGTCTCACTCTGTCGCCCAGGCTAGAGGGCAGGGGCACACTCACGGCCACGCAGCCTTGACCTATTGGTCTCTGGCAATCTTTCCGCTTCAGCCCTCCAAGTAGCCGGAACTATATGTACACGCTACCACACCCAGCTAAGTTTTGATTTATTGTAGAGACAAGGTCTCATCAAGTTGTCCAGGCTGGTCTCGAACTCGCAGGCTCAGGCAATCTACTCTCCTCAGCCTCCCAAAGTGCTGGGATTACAGGCTGAGCCACCAAGCCCGGCTGACAATTTTCCTTTTAAAAAGTCTTTTATCCTTTTGTTATTCTTCTCTTTAGACTTTCTGTCCCCAGGATCTTAACTATCTTTTTTCATGAATTTTGGAGATTGTTTTCATAAAGTCTAGGACACTGATGTCTGATCATGCTCCTTGTTCCCCTACAAACAGATTTCCATCATTTTACTTCTATAATCAGTTCTTCTTTGTGTATAAACTTGAAGGCCAAAGCAGCCATTTCCTTCATTACTTGTAGTATCTTTTGAGTTAAGAAATTACCATCAGAGTAGGTAAGAGATTTATCAGGTACTCTGTTTTCCACCTCATGCAACTTAGCATATACACAGATTATCCAATTTTCTCCACCCTGTTAATAACTTACATGTAGATATCCCTTTATAAATCACATCTGATTTTTATCACAGTCCTATAAGGTAAGGTAGGTATTGCCTCTGTTTTATGGATAAAAGAAGGTTTCAGTGACTTGTCCAATATCACACACATTGCTAAGTAGCAGAGGTAGAATCTGAACTAAGATCCTTTGTTCCCTGCTTAAGTGTCCTTCTCACTCTGTCTCCTCTCACTGATTGCCTCTATAAGTTTTGTAATCTATTTCAGTAACATATCATCCCTTTCTCTCTGATCAGGCAGACTGTATTTATACTATAATATTACTTCTATTTCTCACCCTAATTTACTTGGCCATACTACCTGCCTTAGGCCCATAAGTATTTTCTTCACACATAGAACAGGGTTTCTTAGCTGTGGCACTCTTAAAATTTGGGGTAATTACAAAGTGGACAAAAGATATGAATAGACTTTCTCAAAAGAAGACATACAAGCAGCCAACAGATACATGAAAAATGCTCAGCCTCACTAGTCATCAAAGAAATGCAAATTAAAACTACACTAAGATACCACCTAACTCAAGTCAGGAGGGCCATCATCAATAACTCAAAAAATAACAGATGCTGGGGAGAATGTGCCAAAAAGGGAACACTTCTACACTGTTGGTTGGAGTGTAAACTAGTACAGCCTCTGTGGAAAACAATGTGGCGATTCCTAAAAGTTCTAAAAATCGACCTTCAGTATGACACCACAATCCCTATACTGGGAATATACCCAGAAGAACTCAAATCACTCTATAAAAAGATACCTGCACACATATGTTTATCACAGCATTGTTCACAATAGCAAGAACATGGGACCAACCATGCTGCCCATCAAAAGAGGACTAGATTTTTTTAAATGTACATATCACAATGGAATATTATGCAGCCATAAAGAAGAACAAAATCATGAACTTTGCAACAACCTGGACAGACTTAGAGTCTATAATACTGATCTTTCGCAGAAACAAAGAACTGAGTATCACATGTTCTCACTCATATGCAGACCTTTAACAGCTATCGTAATACTATAGGAAAAGGATTTTGACAGTAGTGGGACACTGCAGGGAGGTCTGATTGGCAGTAGTTGGAATCTGCCTGGGGAAGTGGGGGCACACCTCATTAACAAGGGTACCTGCATAATGAGTATTTGTATACCTAACCCTGAATTGTACCCCACATCTTTAAAATAAAAAACTTAAAAGTTAAACCATAAATAAATTAAATTAAATAAAATTTAGGATAAAACCGTTGTTTGAGGGGAACGAGGCTGTCTCATGCATTATAGGACATTTAGTGGTATCCTTGGCCTCTATATACTAGATGCTGGTAGCACACATACCCCACCTTCAAGTTGTAACAACCAAAATGTCTCCAGATATTGTCAGATGTCCCCATGTGAAGCAGAATTGCCCCCTATTTGAGAATCACTACATATAGAGCTGCTTCATTCCTCTCCCACCTGATTGTTCTCCCTTCTTTACATCTAGGTGGGTTATGTGATGATAAGATAGCACAATGTTCTGTTTGGCTAAATAGGGAAAGAAAGGAAAGGAATGGACTAATACAGGGATTAGTACAGGTATTAGCAAGCAGGTTTGATAAATTGCAACAGGCTCTCCTGCACATCATGGAGAGGATAAATGGTTCTGCAAAATGGTACTTATTCCAATTGGCTATAAAAAGAAAAGAAAGGTATAATTGTTTGAGGAAATTGTTTTTGTTTTAGATTAGGAAGATTTGAGCATGTACATAGACTAAAAAGAAAGAATTAGGGAAAATAAATTGAAGATCCAAGAGAGAGTTGGAAGATAAAAGGATTCAGGATCTAAGAGAAAATGGAGGGAATAGAAACAGGGCAGGAGCAGAAGACAGAGCCTTGAAAATAAAGGCAAGCTATGTCCTCTGAAATAAGGGGAGGGATGAAGGAATAAGTAATAGCAAAGGAAAAAATTTTGAGATAGAAAGAGAGAAGGTTAGGGAGCCCTTGTGGATAACTTTGATCTTCATAAAGTATTTGGTGAAATCATCTACCAATAGAGTGAAGGTAGATTTACAGTGTTTAAAATGAATGTTAAAATATCTGTCGTGGTGAATTAGATTAGGTTAGTAAAGTAGGAATGAGAAGGAAAAGATTATCAATTGACCAAGGGTTCAGCTAATGTTAGATAGCATGTTTATGAATCTCAACTGTTTGGTTATGATTTTTTTTTTTCAGCATTGCAGCCTACAGATAAACACACATGTGGCCGGGCTCGGTGGCTCAGCCTGTAATCCCAGCACTTTGGGAGGCTAGAGCAAGTGGATTGCCTGAGCCCACGGGTTTGAGACCAGCCCGGGCAACTTGGCAAGACCTCATCTCTACAATAAATCAAAAAATTAGCCGGGCGTGGTAGTGCGTGCCTGTAGTTCCAGGTACTTGGAAGGCTGAGGCAGAAGGATCACCGGAGCCCAGCAGGTTGACACTGTGGTGGCCTTGAGCGTGCTACTGCACTCCAGCCTGGGTGATGGAGTGAGACTCCAATTAAAAAAAAAAAAATGCATGCAACAGTTGGTTTAACCTATGGTTAGGAATTGACGGTATTGGGAATGGCAGAAGGTCATAAGTCCAGTGTGATCTTGGGAAAGTATAACTGAAATTATTGACCAACGGGTTCAGGATAGGAGATTAAAGCCCAGAAAAGCTGATCTACTGACATGTCAGTAAATTAGTAGTCACAAAAAGGGTGAAGAACAGAATCCAAAGAAATGGAAGGATAATATGTAGTCAGAGAAGAATTTAGAGTTCGGGATCTTGTAAATATAATTGCTTCAAGTTGTAAGGGAGTCTAAAGTATGGTTGTGTAAGTAAAAGGTAAAGTAGAGCTAACAATCATGGTACCATTTGTCTTAGTCCATTTGTGCTGCTATGCAAAATACCTTAGGCTGGGTAATTTATAAACAATTTATTTCTCACAGTTCTGGAGGCTGAGAAATCTAAGGTCATGGTACCAGCAGAATCTATGTCTGGTGAGGGCATCTTCCCACAACATCCTCACATGGCAGTGAGAATAAAGGGATGAATGCTGTGTCCACACATGGCAGAAGGGACAGAAGAGCAAAAGGGACTTGCTAGCTCCCTCCAGCCCTGTTATAATACACTAATCCCAACCATGAGGGCAGAGACTTCACGGCCTAATCAACTCCTAAATGTTCTACCTCCTAATACTATTGCATTGGGGATTAAGTTTCAACATAAATTGTGGAAGGGACACAAACAATCAAACTGTAGCACCATTTATTTATCATTTAACTTTGTTTTATATATAGTATCTTATTTACTTCCCTATCACAACCCAATAAGATAGATTTACCTTATTTTATAGAGGAACTTAACCCAAGATCATGTATCTAGTCAGTGGTAGAGCCAGGATTGAAACCTAGGTAAATTGGACACCAAAACCTATATATTCAACCATAATATTCTATAGCCTTCCAGCAGTAAGCATAGTAATAGGAATTCAGGTGCTTTAGAAGGATTTCAGAGATTATTACAATGTTTAAAAAGCAAATCTCGGAATTAAATGAAGTGGAAAAGAATCTTTACCCTTTTTAAAACAATAATAGGAAAGTATTCTAGTGTAGTATAGTAGAAAGAGCATAGGACTTGACTGAAATCCTGAGATGGAATTTCAGACCTGCCACTTACTAGCTGTTTGACCTTAGGTAAGCCATTTAACCTCTGAGCTTATTTCCTTATCTATAAAATGAGAATGATAGTAAAAATAATGGTGATAGAATGATTTTTAAAAATCAGTTTGGCTGGGCATGGTGGCTCACGCCTATAATCCCAGCACTTTGGGAGGCAGATGTGGGAGGATCACTTGAGGTCAGGAATATAGACCAGCCTGGGCAACAAAGAAAAACCCCATCTCTATTTTTAAAAATAAAAAAAAAATTTTAAGACGGCTGTTTATTCAGTTTCACAGCTTTAATTAAGGATTGTGATCATGGATATAAAAAGTAAATAGCTATAAGATGGTTGTCATGGTGATAGTTCTGTTTGCTTTGTTTCCATGGGAAAGGGCAAGAAGTGCCAACAAACTCAATTGTACATATCCAGCATTCAGACCTTTGTCCTTTGAACTTGACTTAAAGAGGCACTGAGCAAAATGACCAGGATTAAGAAGTTTTCTTAAGATTGACGACTTAATATTTCTATGAGGTCTTTATTTCTTTTCTCTTTCTCAGAAGAAATGTAGGTGTATGTTAGACACTTTACCAAGCAATTTAAATTTTGTTTTCTATTAGGTATTAATATTAACCGAGGCCTCCTATGCTTGGGAAATGTAATCAGTGCCCTTGGAGATGACAAAAAGGGTGGCTTTGTGCCCTACAGAGATTCCAAGTTGACTCGACTACTTCAAGGTAAATCCAAAGTGCCTCTAAAAATAAGAGAGAAACTCAAACTGATAGTGCTAAGAAAGCTAAGATGAAGCAGGTAAAAAGCCAGCTATTTGGACTATCACAACAGAGTGTCTAATTCACAAATAAGAGAGATTGCTATTGGCAGACAGACTTCTAAGATAATGGAAAAGATATCTTCATATGTCACATTGAGAGCCAAAAAATCTGTAGAGTACCAACTGTACTTAGTACTTTGCACCTGAAAATGAACTTGGTTACTGTTTATTTAATTATTAATGCTGCTAAGCAGAATGCCATGGAGAGTTAAAATCCACCTAGAGGGAGCATCTTAAGAATATTTAATCACAATTGTGGCTCCTAACTTATTTGGGCCAGGCCCCAGTTGTTTTAACCTGATTAACTGCTGAAATCACAGTCTCTCTTGAGAATGTGGACATTTGTGATAGGATTTAAACGATATCATTTTGCACATCAGAAAGTGTACTTTTTTATAGTAACACGAATAGGAAATTTGTAAATATCTGAGAACTTTTTATCATATCTTTTGAGTTTTAAGTCACCAACCTAAGTGGACAGCTTTGCTTGCATCCTACTTGTTTGATTTCATTTCCTTTTGTTGTCCTTTATTCTTTTTCAGATTCTCTAGGAGGTAATAGCCATACTCTTATGATAGCCTGTGTGAGTCCTGCTGACTCCAATCTAGAGGAAACATTAAATACCCTTCGCTATGCTGACAGAGCAAGAAAAATCAAGAACAAACCTATTGTTAACATTGATCCCCAGACAGCTGAACTTAATCATCTAAAGCAGCAGGTATAAGGGACTTAAAATTTGATGGGAAAAATTACAAGTATGTGAGTGGAATGATTGAGCTTCTGTTTCTCAGTTTCTTCTCTATCAGAAGTTAAAAGATATTGGGTAAGCATTATGTTCGTTTGAGGACCTCTTAAAGTAACTCCTATTAACATGTTTGCTGTTCATTTAAGATTGGGAATGGCATTGGAGATTTCACTGATAAAGAAGTATGAGTAGTAAGAGATGAGACGAGAGAGGTGTAGGCATGGGCCAGATCCTGAAGTTCCTTATATAACTTGTTTAAGAATTTGGAATTCAATCTGAAAGCTATGAAGAACCATTGAAGGATTTTAAACAGGAAGGTAACATGATGAAATGTGTTTTAAGGACATCACTCTAGCGAGTATAGAGAAAGTATATTAGAGGTGGGCATGATTAGAGGTAGAAAAATAAATTAGGCTGTTATAATAACCCAGGCAAGAACTATGACTGGAACTAAAGACAGTAACAATGGAGATGAAGAGAAGGGACAAAAAACAAGAAAGAGGTAGAATGTATAGGGCTTACTTGGTAGCAAATATGTGGGAAAAGAAGGGTGGCGGGAGAGAGTCAAGGTTGGTTCCCAAGTTTCTTGTTTGGACAACTATGTAAATGGTAGTGCTAATCATTGAGTCAGGGAATTCAGGAGGAAAAACAGGGTCAAATAGGAAAATGGAAATGATGAATTCAGTTTGAGGCTTTTTAATTTGAAGGTCTTGGGTAGCATCTAAGTAGATGTGTTTAAACATCGCTGGCTGTATGGGTTTAATGTAAAGAGGCCTGAACTATAAATACAGATTTGAGTCATCAGCATTCAGATAGCTGAGGTTATGGAGTAGGTGATATCAAAGAATGCCTGACACATTAAAGGTAATCACTAAATAACTGCTGAATGAGCAAATGAAGAAGAAAAAAAGGCCAAAGACAGAATTCTGGGGAACATCAGCATTTAAGGAATGGGAAAAGGAGAAAAGACAACAAGAGAGACTAATAAGTAGTAGACAGGTAGGAATTTAAAAAACCCCAATGGTTTCTTGGAAGCCAAGGGAAGAACATTTCAAGGAGAGTTGTCAAAAGTATAAATTTACAGAGAAGTGTAAAGTAAGATAAGGATTGAAGTGTCTGTTTTTTTTTAATCAATGGAGAGGTTATTGTTGAACTCAGTGAGAAGATCAGGGGAATGATAAAAGCAGACTGCTACAGGATAAATAAATAGTTAAATTGGTAGATGGAGAAAGCTAATAGACTCTTCTTTCAAGAAGGCATGGTGAGAAAAGGCAATAGCCAGGTAGTCAAGGGTCAAGTGATATAGGTCTGTGTTTGTAAAATATGGAAGAAACGAGTAAGTGGAAAAGCCACTTGGGAAAGACTAAAACTGAGAATAGAGACTAGTTGATAAGAGGCTGTCTCTAAGTAGTTGAGACTCTATATACAAATAAAGAGGGATTTGTTTTTGACAGTAAAGAGCATACCTGCACCCAAGACTAGAAGAAAAGAGGTTAGATTAGGAAGACTCACTGTAGTGGTGTCACAGAACACTACTTTGGAGGGAGGAAGAAGAAAACAAAAATTGAGAGATTTTCAGCCTTATGACCTTTATCTTCACACTGAAGTAGGAGGCAAGGTCATCTTCTAAGAGCAAGTAGTCAGATAATAGGATGGAGGGCTTGAAGAGATCACAGAAGGCTTGAAGTCACTGTTACCAGAAATGGAAGAGCATAAATTTGTGGTGGTATCAATATGACTGGTTGTGCAAAATCTCTGTAGACCTGGTAGAGGAGCTGAGAAGGCAGGCAGTTAGACTGATGCAGGTTTGAGGGGTCAAGTTTTCTTACCTTCCAGGATATAGTACTTTTTCCACTGGAAATCTAGTGTTTTTCAACTGTCTAGTGCTCATGCCCTCTCTGGCCTTCCTCCTCAGTGATAACTATTGTTTCATCTCTTTTTTTCCCCTCTTCATTTCCTTCTTTATCTCCTTTCCTCCTAGGGTTAACTGCAGAGAATATAAGTAATTTATTTGTCCACAGTATCATTTGAATTACACAATACCATACTCAGTTCTGTCCCCTTGTTTCACATTCATTCCTATTGCCAAAAATGGCCTTCCTATTCATTTATTTGCTTATTCATTCCATCAACAAATACTTACTGAACATTATTATGTGCCAGGTACTGTGCTGGGATGCATTACTGAGCAAAGCAGACACAGCTTCTACCCTTGTGGAATTTATTACCTAGTATGAGAGACAAACATTAAACACATAATCACAAATAATCATAATATATGTTATATAATTATAACCTAGGATAATGTACTATATGACACTAGGAAAGTGTGGAACAGGGTCTTCTATTATATAGTTACTGGAATAGTCCAAGTGAGAGGTACTGGTGGCTTGGACTTAGAGTTGTAGTAGTAGTGATAGAAAGAAGTAACCACTGAATCGATAAGAGACTGACACCCAGATTTCTGGCATGTGGAACTGGATATTCACAGACCTGGGGTGCACTGAAAAAGGACCAGGTTTGAGGATAGCAGATAACTAAGTGGAAATATCAGGTAGATAGTTGAATATAAAAGTCTAAAGTTCAGGAAGATCTGCATTTGAGATAAATTTGGGAGTCAACAGTTTATATATGGTAATTGAAGCCATAGACAGAGATGAGACATTAAGAAGGGAATATAAGGAGACGGTATGAAGTGAGAAGACTGATACTGAACTTTGAGGGACTTTACCATTTAAAGGACAAGAGGAGCAAAGATGAACCAAGAATCTTTGAAAACCAACTAGAAGAGATGGAAAACCAGTAAAATGCTACCAATCAAGTAAAATGAAGACTGAAAAATACCCATTGGATTTAGTAGCATGCAGATCATTGGTGACCTTAGCAAGTTATTTCAGTGGAGTAATGTGGCAAAAGTCAGATTGGAATAGGTTGAGAAGAAAATGAAAGGTGAGCAAAAGGATATGGAAACAATTTGTGTAAGGTATTCTCTCAAACTTTGTGAAAAGAAAGAAATAGGGGAAGAGAAATAGGAAGTGAAGTTGAGGAGGGTTTTTTTTTTTTAAGCTGGGAGAGACTTGAACATGTTTTAATCTTAATAGGTAGGATCTTGTAGAAAGGGAGAAGTTGAAAATACTGAAGAGGGAAAGGATAACAAGTAGAGTAAGATTCATAAGGTTACAAGAAGAGTGGAGCACAAGCAAGGAAACTAGTCTTAGGAGACAGAACAGCTTTTCTTGTGACTTGGGAATGGTAGGGAATGGGAAAGGATTCTTGCACGTGTGCTCTGGTTTAAGATCCATCTCCATGAGGCCTTCCCTTAACTGTTTTAGGGTTTTGTTAATTTGCTGCTTCTTGAAACCTAAAGTGCTTTACTATATCTAGCAATTTAGCATCTTCTGTCTTGTATTATCTTCTCCTATTTTAGGTTTTAGGCTTGTCTTCCCCAACTAGATTGTAAACTTAAGAGTAAGGAACCGTATTTTATTTTTGTGTGCCCCTACATTGCCTTAGCTCAGTGCTGAGTTTGATTTTTTTTAAAAAGGTGCTCAGTAAAAACTCATTAAGATACTTAGATAAAAGGGACAACTCACCTTCTGAGCAGTAGTTGTTCATGTAATGCTGATTGCCATTTTATCATTGGATCATCAACCCAGGTGCCTTCTGTGGTATCTATGATCTGCCTTAAATTTCTTAGGCATTGAGTAAAATTACCCTACTGCTAATTACAGTAATTTCACTGCCAAGGGATAAATAGCATTTGATTAATGACTGATTATTTTTCTTTACTTCTCCCAGGTACAACAGCTACAGGTATTGTTGCTACAGGCCCATGGAGGTACCCTGCCTGGATCTATAAAGTAAGAGTCATAGGTTAATTTTTAATGTATAGTCTAGTAGAGGCTATTTTTCCTAATAATTGTTTTCTTCTGATTTACTAAAGTTTCTGTTAGCACTTAGTGTCAAGGTAGGGATCTTACCAACCTTGCTGACTATTTAGAACTTAGCTAATTATGTTTGAAGCAACCCAATGTAATAGAAAGAACCGTGGGTTCTGGTCTCAGGAATTTATTAATTGGAATTCTACTATGGGGAAGAGCTGTCTCTTCTTCCCATTTTTTTGTCTGACTATTTAGTTATACCTGTATAGATTCATGGATATTTATTTTATTATATGGGTTAGCATTCAGTACTATCATTTGTTTTATTGCTCACATTGTTTCTGCTTTGTCCATGAGGAACTACTTTAGATTGGCTCTTGTGTTCTTTAACAAGTCCTCGAGTTTTTGTGCATTTTCGCAAGGTGTTCCAAAACCCATCTTGTATTTTCTCTGCCCCAGTTCTGGATTCAACCATGTCTCCGAGGAGTCCTGGTTTCTTTTTTTGTAAAAGGTGTTTAGAAACCAAGATTAGAGCCAGGTGCAGTAGCTCACTCCTGTAATCCCAGCACTTTAGGAGGCTGAGGCGAAAGATTGCTTAAGAGTTCAAGACTAGCCTATGCAACATAGCGAGACTTTGTCTAAAAAAATCAAAAAACTAGCCAGCACTGAGATCCCAACTCAAAAAAAAAAAAAAAGAAAGAAAGAAACTAAGATTTGAGCACTAGCACTAGCTGTGTTCATTGTTACTAGGTTTTTAATGCTTCTAGACCGTCTGAGGAGGCAGAACCCAGAAATATCTATATGTATAGTAACCCACCCATATACTCTCATTTATATTTTTGTTTCTATCTGTATGTATATTAAAAACCATGATTTTATACTGATATCTCTGATACCATTCCAACACTACTAGGTTCATTTTATTCTTCTCCTTCTCCTTATTTGTAAAACTTCTTTCTCCAACAGTGATAAACCCAGCTCTCATTATCTACAATATCTACATTCTGTTTATTCACTTGTTCAGTTCTACTATACACATAAATTATTTTCAGAATTGTTAGTCCATACTTCTGAGGGAAACACTTTTGTGAACTAGATTACAGCTTTATGTACAGTTCTTTTTGTCTGAAAGCTTAGAGTATCTAGGCAAGATACTGTTTCCCATACTTACTGTTTGTATTTCATTTTGGGTCACCCCTGCGTCTTGGTTACTTTTAATTGTTTGTTTATATTTTAGATATGTGAAACATTATAATGGATCTAAGAGTCAGAGTTATACAAAAATATGTACTCAGAGCAGAGAAATACAAATTAAAACCCCATTAATACCTTATGCCCATTAGCATGGCACCTATAAAATAAACAAATAAGTAATAATATGAATAAAACAACAGAAAATCACAAGTGTTGGCAAGGATGTGAGGATATGGAGATATTGGAACCCCTGTACACTGTTGGTGGGATTGTAAAGTGGTATAACCACTATGGAAAACAGTATGGAGTTTTATCAAAAAATTCAGACTAGTTTTACCATATAATGCAGCAATCCTGCTTCTGTGTATATATCCAAGTTAATTAAAAGCAAGGTTTCAAAGAGACATTTTCACATCCACGTTCATAGCAGCACTATTCACAATAACTAAGAGATGGAAAAGCAACCAAAATGTCCATCAGCAGATGAATAGATAAACAAAATATGTGTATATACATACAATAGAATGTTATTCAGCCTTAAAAGGAGGGAATCCTGTCACACTTTACAACATGGATGAATATTGAAGATATTATGCTAAGTGAAATAAGCCAGCCACAAAGACAAATACTGTATGATTCCATTTATATGAGGTATGTATCTAAAGTATTCAAATTCATAGAAACAAAGTAGAATGATGATTACCAGATATTGGGGGAGGGAAGAAAGAAGAGTTGTTTAATGGGCATAGAGTTTCAGTTTTGCAAGATGAAAAAGTTCTGGAGATCTGTTTCATAATAATGTTAATATACTTAAATACTACTGAACAGCACACTTTTAAGATGGCACATTTTATGTTATATATTTTTCTACAAGAAAAAAAAGAGGGGGACATCCCACAAGAAAACTAGAAGAAAATATAGGCAAACATCTATATGCATATAGGTGAAGGTAAAGAGCATTTTATAAATAAAAGCAACCACAGAAAACTAAAAGAAAAGACTAGGGAGGGGGGAAATGAGGAATTGTTTAATGGGTATAGAGTTTCAGTTTTGCAAGATAAAAGAGGTCTGGAGATCTGTTGTACAACAATGAATATACTTAAACACTACTGAACTGTATACTTAAAAATGGTGACAATGGTAAATTTTATTTTATATATATATATATATTTTTTTTTTTTTTTTTGAGTTGGAGTCTCACTCCTTCTCCCAGGCCAGAGTGCACTGACACGCACTCTCAGAGCCACCCCAGCGGCGACTTGCTGGGCTCTGGCAATCCTTCCGCCTCAGCCTTCCAAGTAGCCGGAACGCGCTGCCACGCCCGGCTATTTTGTATTTTATTGTAGAGACGAGGTCTCGCCAAGTTGCCCCGGCTGGTCTCGAACTGGCGGGCTCAGGCAGTCCACTCGCCTCGGCCTCCCAATGTGCTGGGATTACAGGCAGAGTCACCGAACCCAGTCTGTTATATTTTTTATTACAATTTTTAAATTCTTGTTTTATATACATGTATAGGGTACAGGTACAATTTTATTACATGGTTATATTGCATAGTGGTGAAGTCTGGGCTATTAGTGTATCCAATCACTCAAATAACATATATTGTAACAACTCAAACACTAAATGTTCTCAATTATAAGTAGGAGCTAAATAATGTGTACATATGGACAGTAGAATGTGGAATAATAGACATTGGAGACTTGGAAGGCTGGGAAGGTAGGAGAAGTGAGTAATGAGAAACTACTTAAGGGTACAATGTACCACAATTTGTTTTAAAGGAAAAAAAAGATACACTCAGAAGTATCATTCCCTCTTCATCCTTGCTACCCTTTTCCCATTCGTTCTCTTTTCTACCATTATTCCCCCTCCTCCTGTATTTAACCCATCTCTTTAGTTTCTAATTTAATCTTCCTGTATTTTTTTTTATATACCTGTGTATTTACTTATATCACCTTTTTCATATGAATGGTAGAATACTCTTTGTGGCTTGGCTTTGCTCAGTATTTCCTGGAAATAATTTCTTATCAGTTCAGAGAAATCTTCCTCGTTCTTGTTTATAGCTGAATAGTACCTTTATTGTTTACACGTTCATACATATTATTCAACTTCTCTCCTATGTATGCATATTTAGGTTGTTCCCAATATTTTGCAGTTACAAACATGCTGCAGTAAATTACCTGTGTTTATATATTTTTTTGTATTGTTAGAGGCTTATCATCAGGGTAGATTTCTGAAAGTGGGATTGCTGGGACAAAAGATCACTATATTAGTATTGTATTGGGTATTGCCGTATTCCCCTCCAGAAAAGTTGTACCAGTTTGCATTCCCACTAGCAGTGTATGAGAGTGCCTGTTTCCCCACAGCCTCACCAACAGAATGTGTTGTCATACTTTTTCAATTTTTGCCAGTCTGATAGGTGAGGAATGCTATCTCAGTGTTGTTTTAATTTGCATTTCTTTAATTAAGAGTGCATTTAAGCTTTTTTTCACATCTTTTATCTCTCATTCTGGTGAATTGTCCGTGTCTTTTCCTACTTTTCTATTGGTTTTTTTTTTTTTTTTTTTTTCATTCTTTGGCCCTTTTAAAATAAATTGTGGTAAAATATACATAACAAAATTTACCATTTTAACCATTTTTAAATGTGTAATCCAGTGACTTTAAATACAGTCACAGTGTTGTGCAACCATCGTCGCCATCTATCTCAAAACTTTTTCCATCTTGCAAAACTGAAACTCTGTATCCACTAAACAATAATTCCCCATTGTCCCTTTCCTCAACCCCTGGCAGCCACCATTCTACTTTTTGTCTCTGAATTTGACTGTTCTAGGTACCTCATATGAGTGAAATGATACAGTAATTGGCTTTTTGTGACTGGCTTGTTTTATTTAGTATGATGTCTTCAAGATTTATCCATATTGTAGCATGTGTCAGAATTCCTTCCATTTTTAAGGCTGAATAATTTTTTTCTTTTGAGTTGGAGTCTCACTCTGTTGCCCAGGCTGGAGTGCAGTGGCATGTTTACAGCCATCACAGCCTTGACCTGCTGGACTCCTGCAATCCTTCCGCCTCAGCCTTCCAAGTAGCCAGAACTATAGGCGTGCGCTACCACGCCTGGCTAGTTTTTTATTTATTGTAGAAACGAGGTCTCGCCAAGTTGCCCGGGCTGATCTCGAACCCGTAGGCTCAGGCAATCCACTCACCTCGGCCTCCCAAAGTAAGGCTGAATAATATTTTATTTTGTGTATATGCCACATTTTGTGTATCTATCTGTCAGTTGACACTTAAGCTGTTTCCATCTTTTGGCTATTGTGAATAATGCTGCTATAAACATGGGTGTACAGCCAAGCACAGTGGTACTTGTCTAGTCCCAGCTACTCAGGAGGCTGAGGCAGGAGATTTGCTTGAACCCAGGAGTCTGAGACTGTAGTGTGCTGTGATTGTGCCTTTAAATAACCACTGTACTCCAGCCTGGGCAGCATAGCAAGACTGTCTCTTTAAAAAAAAAAAAGATGTACAAATATCTGTTTGTATCCCTGGTTTCAATTCCTTTGGGCATATACCTATTAGTAGAATGGTTGAGTCATGTAGTAGTTGTTTTTAATTTTTTAATTAAATCACCATACAGTTTCCATAGTAATTGTACTATTTGACATTCCCACCAGCCCATGCACAAAGTTCTCCACATTCTCACCAACATTTATTTTGTTTTTTGGGGTTTTTTTGTTTTTTAAAATAATAGCGACCCTAAATTTTGCCCTTATTTTTAACAGTTCTTTATATATTAATGATATTAATATTAGCCCTTTATCTGGGGTGTGTGTAACAAATATTTTCTCCCAGTTTTTCAGTTGTCTTTTACTGTGTTTATGGTGGATTTTTTTGTAGTAGAAAAAAATGTTTAATTTTTATCTAGTAAAGTTTATTAATATTTTTTCTTGCTTCTGGACATTTTAGCAGCTTTATTGAGATATAATTTACATATAATTCACTCATGTACAACTCAATGTTTTTAGTAAATTTACAAAGTTATACAACTATCACCACACTCCAGTTTTAGAACATGTCACCCCAAAAAGTTCCCTTGTGCCCATTTGCAGCCACTCCCATTCCTACTCCCAGCCCAGAGCAACCACTAATCTCTTTTTAGTCTTTAAAGATTTGCCTATTATAGACATTTAATATACATGGAATCATGAAGTATATAGTCTTTTTTTTTTTTTTTAAGTCGAGGTTCAGCCTTCACCTTCTGGTCTCAGGGGATCCTCCCACCTCAGCCTCCCACCATGCCCAGCTACTTTTTTGATTTCTGTAGAGACAAGGTCTCTCTGTGTTGCCCAAGCTGGTCTCAAACTCCTGGGCTCAAGCAATCCTCTCACCTTGGCCTCCCAAAGTGCTGGGATTACAAGCATGAGTCACAGCACCCAGCATCCTAGTCTTTTTTATCTGGCTTCTTTCATTTATATTATGTTTTTGAGATGCATCCATGTTATAGAATGGATTAGTACTTCATTCACTTTTATTGCTTAATAGTATTCTGTTTTCTGGATATACCACATTTGTCCATCCATTTACCAGTTGTTGGACTTTTGGGTTATTTCCACTTTTTTGCTATTATGATTAATGCTTTGTGAATGTTCACTTGCAAGTTTTTATGGGATTTTTTTGTTGCTGTTTTTATTTTGGGACAGGGTCTCACCCTGTAACCCAGGCTGAAGTGCAGTGGCATGATCACTGCACACCGCAACCTCAACCTCCTGGGCTCTCAAGCAATCCTGCCTCAGCCTTCTGAGTAGCTGAGACTACTAAAAGAATTGATAGAGTTCTTAAGATGGGTGAGGGGGCATCTGCTCTATTCCTGAAATCTTTTTCTATCCTTTATTGAGATTGAGAACAGTTGTTCCTGGTCCTTTTTTTCTCTTTATCATAGCCTTGACAACTATTCATTTTTCCCTTCAGTCTTCAGGTCAAATCTTCATATGTCTTTCTTTTTAAATTGTTTTTCTTTATTTCAATAGCGTTAGGGTTTTTGGTTACATGGTTACGTTGTACTAGTATTTCTTCTGCTCTTTTTTAAAAGTCCTATTTTCCAGTCATGAACATTTCATCCCAGTGAATTTATTTTTTATTTATTTTATTTATTTATTTTTTGAGTTGGAGTCTCACTCAGTCGCCCAGACTGGAATGCAGTGGCCGCTCCCGGCCTCGCCTGCTGGGCTCCAGCAATCCTTCCGCCTCAGTCTTCCGAGTAGCTGGAATTACAGGCATGCGCTACCATGCCCGGCTGATTTTTAGATTTATTGTAGAGATGAGGTCTCGCTGCCCAGGCAGGTCTCGAACCTGTGGGCTCAGGCAATCCACTCACCTCAGCCTCCCAAAGGGGCGGGATTACAGGCTGAGCCACCGAGCCCAGCGAATACCAACTGTGCTTCTTAATGGTCAGCTTCACTTGCCTAGAACTGATATCGAGTGATATGTATGAGTTCCAGAAGTTCTTACCTATATGTATTTCTTCAAACTATTTCTGTCCCTTCCCCTCTTGTTTGAAACAAGTATGCCACCATGCCTGGCTAATTTATTTGTAGAGATGAGGTCTCACTGTGTTAAGTGCGGGGATTACAGGCCTAAGCCACCATGCCCTGCCAACAACTATTATTATTAATTGTAGTAGCATTTAAATTTTTAAGATTAGCCAGGCATTCTGGCTCATGCCTGTAATTCCAACACTTTGGGAGGCTAAGGTGGGAGGACTGCTTGAGTCCAAGTGTCCAAAACCAGCCTGGGTAACATACCAAGATCTCATCTCTACAAAAAATTTTAAAAATTAACTAGGAGTGGTGGCAAGTGCCTGTAGTCCCAGCTACTCAGGAGGCTGAGGTGGAAGAATTGCCTGAGTCTAGGAGGTCAAGGCTGCAGTGAGCCGTGATCATGCCACTGCACTCTAGCCTGGGCAATGGAGTGAGACCCCTAATCAAAAATCATAATAAATTTTCAAGGTTATCCTCAAATTGCAATGAAGACCCTATTCCTAAGTGCTAAATTTTCCTTGGAAAAATTAACTGCTGACTTAAATGTGATTTTTCCATTTAGAGAAATTCTGGACATTTTTTAAGGGAGAAAAAAAACCTTTTGAGTTAAAAGGTTCATTACTTTGAAGGCTGTCAACTTACATGAATGATGCATGGAAGTTTTCAGTTCAATAAGAATAAGGAAATGGGCAAACAACAATCTAAAATAGCACTTAAATTTACTAATAGTTTATTTTTATAATCTGCTTTTTTTTTTTGAGCCGGGGTCCTTTGTCATCCAGGCTGGAATTCAGTGGCATGACCATGGTTCGCTGCAGCCTCAACCTCCTAGGCTCAGGCAATCCTTCTGCCTCAGCTTCTGAATAGCTGGAGATACAAACAGGCACCACTATGCCTGGCTAAATTTTTTCATTTTTTTGTAGGGATGAAGTCTTGTCATGTTGCCTAGGCTGGTCTCAAACTCCTGAGCTCAGGCAGTCCTCTTGCCTTGGCCTCCCAAAATGTTGGGATTACAGGCATGAGCCACCATGCCTGGCCATAATCCACATTTTAATTGAGCATTGCTTTATAAGAGTCTTAGTAAATTCTCCACAGTGGAATCTGAGACCTTATTGTGTGGCCTTGCAATTAACTTTTTGATAAAGAGCAGTCTAAGATCTGTAAGAATTGATGAAGTTCTTAAGATGGGCGAGAGGGCATCTACTCTGTTCCTGAAATCCTTTTCTATCCTTTATTGAGATTGAAAACAGCTGTTCCCGGTCCTTTTTTCCTCTTTATCATAGTCTTGACAACTATTCATTTTTCCCTTCAGTCTTCTTCAGATCAAATCTTCATACTTCTTCTGATCTTTTTTTTTTTATTACAAGTCCTATTTTCCGGTCTTGAACATTTCATCCCAGTGGATTTTTTTTTAAACCAACTGTGCCTCTTTTTGGTCTGCTTTACTAGTCTGGAACTGACATTGAGAAATATGTATAAGTTCCAGAAGTTCTTATCTATATGTATTTCTTCAAACTATTTCTGTCCCTTCCCCTCCTATTTGAAACAGACAGCATTGTTGCCACCACTCACTCTAAGCAATTTAAATAGGCAAATGAACAGTAGGGTATGGGTCATCATTTTCAAGCAAAGCAAACATTTAGATGGGAGCACTTATTTATAAAGAATTGTGAAGTTTGCTCTTAGTGGCCACTGGTCATCATTTTAACATTCTGACTTCTTAAATGCTAATTCGCTAAACTTTACAGTAAATGGATAATTAACTTGTGTTGATGAGGTTAGAGTTCATGTGACAATTCTACTTTCTTCCCTACTTTCCTAACCTTTAATGAAGGGTTGAGGGTGGGAAGACAAGGGAGAAAACATATATTTTAGCTACTGTGCCATCACTTCTTACCTATAGGATAAAAATAGAAAGATCCTAAACCAGCCGGGGCTAGGTGGCTCAGCCTGTAATCCTGCACTTTGGGAGGCTGAGGTGAGTGGATTGCCTGAGCCCATGGGTTCGAGACCCCACTGGGTAACTTGGCGAGACCTCATCTCTACAATAAATAAAAAAAATTAGCCGAGCGTGGTAGCACACGCCTGTAGTTCCAGCTACTTGGAAGGCTGAGGCAGAAGGATCGCCGGAGCCCAGCAGGTCGAGGCTGCAGTGGCCGGAAGCGGACACTGCACTCCAATCTGGGCGACAGAGTGAGACTCCAACTCAAAAAGAAAAATCCTCAACCAAGAGCCAAGGTAGCTGTTATAATCACATCTTTTGTAACCATTTCTGACGCTGAATTATTACCTTCCTCCAAAACATCAAGGTACTTCAGGGATGTGTTTCTTGTTCATTCAATATACTATCTGACTAGAAAGACAGGTTGGGTTGGATATATGTTTCTAAGACTTTTGTGGGGAAATTTTACCCCAATCCCCCTACCTACCCAAAAGGCCTGTGGGATATATTTTTTATGTAGGTGTTATCAATCAGGTATTCTTCTAATAACATGTTACTTACTTCGTTTTAGTGTGGAACCATCAGAGAATCTGCAATCCCTGATGGAGAAGAATCAGTCCCTGGTAAAAGAAAATGAAAAATTAAGTCGTGGTCTGAGCGAGGCAGCTGGTCAGACAGCCCAGATATTGGAAAGGATCATTTTGGTGAGGCTCCAAGATTAAGCTACTAGGAATATGGACATTTTAGCCTTGGTTTCTAAAATATTTAACATGCTTTTCATTATGAAAGATAAGTTATGTGGAAGGAAATGTATTTATATCACCATATCCTCCAGGGAGACCCCTCTGGGGTAAATACATGGGCTTGTAATCAAACATAAAAAAAGTTAAAAGAATTGTACAGTGTATTACCTATGTATTCACCACAAAGAATCTACATGAATCTCATTTTAAAATAGATTTGTTCTAAAATATCAGAATGAAAAGAATCAAGTTCTTCTTTCACTTTGTCTTGCCTAATCTTTATCCATAATACCAAGTAATTGTTCCCTTACTAAGATTTTTCTTCTTCTCTCTCCCTTCTCCGAATGTTGTCACATTTTATATCCCATCCTAACATCTGCCATGGTAAACTGTAACAGCTGGAAAATTAATTTTAATTCATTTTCCATATGATAATTTCTAAATAGTGGATCACTATGTAACTAATTACACCAGTTCTGACTCCTACTGTCTGTCTGTCTGATAGTAACCTCCTGAATCAGTGTCTGCTAGCTCAATCACTAAAGTTTTTCTACTAGTCTAAGTACAACTCAATCTTTGATAGCACAACTAATTCCAGAAGCAAAAATGAGCTTCCACCAAAATGTAATTGAACGTTTGTAACTTTTACACCTTCAGGCATTGCATCAGTGTGCTCTCTTACAAGGAAGGGTAAGCTGGTTAAAGATTTCTTCAAAATGGACTAAATCCTACCTCCATTGTGTTATTCATTACTAGCAGAAGGGTGAAAATGGGATCTAGAGATTTATATATACAGTTTTTTGTCTCTAGTGCTGGGTATTTTATGCCTTTGAAGTAACTCTAGAAGCCATGTTTCACATGTATGTACATGTGGCTGATGTAACAGAGAGTACTTGTTAGTCTAGCCACATACCCATCTGAGCTTTATGAGGTTGTTACAATGGCTGCTGATAGGCTTATTATTTGATATTCTGTCAGAACTTCATAACAATCATAACATTTTTGTCCTATATAAAGTATTCTTTCAAATCTGTTAGAGCATCCAGCATGTAACAAACACTGTGATTGAAATAAAACTGAAAATATCAATCACCCTTTCCAAAACATAGCTGGCTTCTGCCATTTCTTCTTTCTCTACCATCATTCTTATGTCTTATTCTTTTTCTTGCTGTCTTTTGCTAAAACTAGTCTACCATATCAGATAATGTAACATAAAATATATATATATAACTCAGCTTAAGTTTAGTGTGAGGCCCTTTTATGTTTTAAATGCCCTTATGCCAGGTCTAGGGAACAGTATCATATAGGAGACAGTTTAATGTAAGTGATTTTTTTTGCAAACAGCAGGGAGTTACATGCCAGGAAGTATTACTTTTTTCTCCCAGTTACAAAATTCCCTATAGAATTAAGGCTTCACAGTCCACCCCATAGTCTGAGCTTCATGGAAAGCATAAAACCCAGCTGCTTGGATGCTATTTTTTAGTAGCTCTTGTTGAAGGGCTAATTTTCATGACTTTGTTATAAAATACATTGATCACTAAATATCCAAAGCCTTCTAAATGTACCTCTATTGCAGCAAAGGAGGCAATCCCTCTCACCTGGGTTTTATTCCGTAGGAATAGGAGAAAGTGTAAATCCGTAAAGCTGTCAAGAACTGCCACTGATGATTTTGTGGGTCTTTGTTGCAGACAGAACAAGCAAATGAAAAAATGAACGCCAAGCTAGAAGAGCTCAGGCAGCATGCAGCGTAAGTTTCCTACTCGATATTTGTTAGCAACCTCTGCCACCTTAGTATGTAATCATGAATCCTCTGGCCTTTGTGGTATGATTAACCTTTGGGTTCTTTCTGTCTGAATTTACAGCTGCAAACTGGATCTTCAAAAGCTAGTGGAGACTTTGGAAGACCAGGAATTAAAAGAAAATTTAGAGATAATTTGTAACCTGCAACAATTGATTGCCCAGTTATCGGTAAGCCAAGTAGAGGCAATGTAAATAGGCTTAACACTTTCATTTGTTTTTTGTTTTTTTTGAGTTGGAGTCTCACTCTGTCACCCAGACTGGAGTGCAGTGGCCGCTCCCGGCCACCGCAGCCTCGACCTGCTGGACTCCAGTGATCCTTCCGCCTCAGCCTTCCAAGTAGCGGGAACTATAGGTGTGCGCTACCATGCCTGGCTAATTTTTTGATTTATTGTAGAGATGAGGTCTCACCAAGTTGCCCAGACGGGTCTCAAACCCGCAGGTTCAGGCAATCCATTCACCTCAACCTCCCAAGGCGTAGGATTACAGAGTGAGCCACCAAGCCCGGCTTCATTTGTTTATTTTGATGCATATAAGCCTTTCTAACTCTGTGCCTTTTGCCTAAACAACTAGATTGTGAACTGCTTGAGAACAGAAGTCATGGATCATATGATTGGGATATTGAGTTTGTTAAGGCAAAAGCACTCACAGGTTACATATGCAATGGCACATTAGTATTTCAATATTCTAATCAAATATTAGAAGCAACAACATACCCACGCAAAATTGCCTAGGTATCAAGAGCAGCAGTCATTGACTTGTTATCCTATCAATATAGGCTAACTTAGAGGCCTCATATCATATCCCAATTTTAAATAAGCTGTGTTTTGGCAGGTAGCTTAGAGCAACCAGGGAATACCATAACTCTCTTTTATAACCAATAATAAGTAAATTTAAAAGCTTGTTCTATCATAAGTTTGCATTTTTATCTATATTGAGAACTATTATAGTTGTAGATGTGTTTTGGGGGTGCAGGTGATTATTTGTCATTTTTGTCAGAAGAGATTCTCACAATTTCACCATCTCTAAAAATCTATTTTTATTTGTGGTGTTCCTTCTCTGAATTAGTCTTTAGGTATATATGCTATTTTTAAAAATTGAAATCATACTATAACATACTTAAGGGGTTAGGGTTGGTTTTGTTCTAGCTATATTCGCTTATTTATTATTCTGAAATAGTAATGTGTATGTAAATGCCTGGTAGTAATTCCTTTTCTTGGGCAGAGGTTTTAATTTTACCAGAACCAAGTTCCTCATCCCTGGTCTTATCCAGTGTTTTCTAGAGTTGTCAATAGTGTGTCACAAAATCTTCCACACATAGATTTATTCTTAAAGAGTAAATGAAAAAAAGTACCATATATATTGTTGGGGGAAGGTTATGATGGCCAGCCCTAAGAAATTAAATAAGTAAACTCCCAAAAGAATATTGGGCAGTGTTTTAGAATAAGAAGCGTTGTATAAAACTATCGTGTGAGCAGTTCAAGATGACAGTTCATTTATCTAACAAACAGGGCACAAGTAATTGAGAACCTGGGCTCTAGAGCCAGACAGATAGGTTTGAAACCAATTCTGCCAATTATTAGTTGGTAACCTTGCTAAGTGCTGTATTACTGTCAAAAGAAAATAATTTAAGTGATTCAAATAGGAATTAAAAGCATTATTCAGCAGATGTACTCAGGGAACACCTGAACTCCAGGTGATATCCCAAGTTGAAGCAAGGTTGAAGTTTTATAGGAGAAGAAAGGGGTATGTGTCCTTGTGGTTTGGCTCAGGTAACAATGTTTTATGTTAACTGCTGTGAAACTTTTTGTTGGAGATTATTTCATTTGTTATACCTCTTCCTCGGAAACATACTGGTACAATCCTATCCTGATAACTATCGTATTTCAAGAATTGTTCTTATAAGCCTTGTATGAGCAATATGAACAAAGTGCAGTGGGAGCATAAAATAAGGGGTGATTGTTAGTCTAGAAAATCCAAGAGGGCATCAAAATAGAAACTGGGTCCAAAAAGTGAATGGGACTTTGCCATGCAGACAAAAGGGAATGAACAATCTATATATGTATATAGGAAAAGGTATATGCAAAAGCAAAGAGGTATGAAAGCTTAGAAAATGCAAAGAACTTTATTGTGGCTGAAGTGTGGCATACATTTTAAAGAATGGCTATCTCAAGGTTAAACTTCAGTGTCCATAATTCCACTCAAATCTAGCAGAAACATCTGTTATATGAAAACTTTGTGTGAACTACCTCAGAATTAAGTTAATCTAGGCTGCAGAAGCCTACTAGTGCCAAAACTTACAAGCTCAAAGATAGTGACCCAGGACATTCACCATTCATTGTTCATAGCTACCACACCAATCTTAGAGGATTTTGTGTCACCTCATCTCTTGGACTTTGAGTCACATGGGAAAAATAAAGGAAACCCATGGAACCAAGTTAATGAAATAAGATAAAACGTCCTCAGTGAGGTTCTGGCAATATGACTGGTGCTTGGTGTGCCTATAGACTGAGGAAGTTGCTAGTGATGGCTGGCTCAGAGGAACTCTAGAATTGCTGTCTGCCACCACTAAAATGCACTCGGCACACACAGTAGGGGGGTGCTAAAGATTGCCACAAGCTGATAAAGATCCTGGCTTCCATCCACAGTCACAGTTAGGCAGAGTAAATCCTTTTATCCAGCACTCCTACTGGACTCTTGAATTAGAGTTCTCGACATCTATTGTTTGGAGATCCTCCCAGCTATTTATTTTTTGGAAATACACAACAACATATCCTGTGGGTTTTATTATTAAGACTCAATACAGTGAAAGTAAAATGTTTCAAATTTAAATGCTTATGCCCTTCATTCTGGACTTAAACTATTTTTATTTAAAGTGACAGGTGAATACCCCCTTTTCTGTTTTGAAGGCAACCATTGTTCCTGGATATTCCTCCTGGGGCTTTAAGTGCTAAACTGTGCCATTTCTTCCTTTAAAATATAATTCAAGCAGACCTCCTTGTTGTAGTTACCTGTGAGGAAATTCATGCAGTGCTTTCAGTTCCCACAAAATCAAATATTTTTTTTGTTTATATCCTTTCTTCTAAGACCAATTCCATAAAAAACATTTTGCTTGCCCCATAAGGGTACAGCCTACACTTCATCTTGGAGGATATTGCTGGTTAATGTAGCACAATGTACCCTAGCCTTGTTCCCCTAATCATCACCTTTATTAAATCATATTTTTTTACTTTGAAGAGGTTCTCAGTTATTGTCTTAGAATGGGGGGGGCGGGGCTGTGAGATGGAAACAAATCCTATTGTTATATATTTACATTTAGGATTATGGAGGCAGAATTCTGCCATGTTCATGTAGATATGTCACTATAGCCCTAAGCTTAAACCTTAGTACTATGAGATTTCACTGGGCCAAAAGCCAAACATAAACCCACAGTAACAACATATCTTTTTTTTTTTTCTTGAGTCAGAGTCTCACTCTGTTACCCAGGCTGGAATGCCATGGCATGGTCACAGCTACCACAGCCTCAGGCTCCCGGGCTTAGGTGACCCTTCTACCTCAGCCTCCCAAGTAGCTGGGACTACAGGTGTGTACCACCATGCCCAGCTGATTTTTTGATTTATTGTAGAAACCAGCCATGTGGCCCAGGCTGGTCTTGAACCCCTGGGTTCTGGTTATCCTCTCACCTCAGCCTCCCAAAATGCTGGGATTACAGGTGTGAACCACTGTGCCCAGCCACCATATCTTCTTCAAGGATTAACCTAACTACTTTGAGCCTGGATCCTCGGGAAGGCACTAGAAAAAGTCTCCAAAAGCCAGTGTTACAGGCTCTAATAATCTAGGATAGGCCTATAACTAGTCCTTTTATAGAAAATTGAAACATGGGAGTGAAAAAAGGATAACCATTAACCTATATTAGATTGATGTGCTGTTTTTAAAGAAGGTTTTAGTATGTCCTATGCTTGAAGAATCACCAGTACTATAAATCATGATGAAAAAGTATATGGGAATGCTGGAACTTCCTTTGCTTTCTCTTTGAGCCCCACTGGTTAGGAGTTTCTGGGCAGAATAAGGGAAATGCTTTACAAACAGCACTTATTAAGGGCCTGTTCACTCTTCACCTTAAAGTACTAAGATTCAAGTTTCAACAATTATGTAATGTGTCACAGGACTGGTGTAGAGACTGAATATGCTAACCATAACTCCTTTCTTTACTGTTAAGCTAATAGCTCTTTTTGCATATGACCTCCTTAGTCAGATGACTTCCTGGAAATAATCCTTTCTTCCCAGGGCTTTGATGAATCACATAGAAGTGGTAATCCATATGTTACAATGCCAAGTAAAGCCTAAATTCCAGTGGTGAGAACAGAGCTTGCTCATGATAGTTTATTTAAAAATAGTCCTAAGCCAGCTCGGTGGCTCAGCCAGTAATCCTGCGCCTTTGGGAGGCTGAGGTGAGTGGATTGCCTGAGCCCGTGGGTTCGAGACCCGCCTGGGCAACTTGGTGAGACCTCATCTCTGCAATAAATCAAAAAATCATCCAGGCGTGGTAGCGCGCGCCTGTAGTTCCAGCTAATTGGAAGGCTGAGTCAGAAGGATCGCCGGAGCCCAGCAGGTCGAGGCTGCGGTGGCCAGGAGCGGCCACTGCACTCCAGTCTGGGCGACAGAATGAGACTCCAACTCAAAAATATATATATATATATATATATATATTAGTCCTAATAAGTAGTTTTAGGTTCTTTTCTTGGGGGTTGTTGTTCCAATACCCCCCCACACACACACACACAAAATAATTAAATAAGTAAATAAATAAATAAAAACAATTTGCCATTCTCTGGGAGGGAAGTAGTGTTTACCCTTTCTCTCCTAGTAAGCACTACTTGGAGTAGCTACATATGATCTTTTCCTTTTTTTCCTTTTTCTTTTTTTTATTTTTCTGGATTTAGGAGGTACACCTGCAGTTTTGTTTCAGGTGTGTAGTGGTGAGGTCTGGGCTTTTCATGTAGCTATCACCCAAAAAGTGTACATTGTTCCTATTAAGTAATATTTCATCCCTCACCCACCCAAGTCTCCAATATTTATCATTCCACTCTCTGTGTCTATGTGTATACATTATTTAGCTGCCACTTATAAGTAAAAACATGTGGTATTTGATTCTTCTGCTTCTGAGTTATTTCACTTAAAATAATGACCTCTTAGTTCCATACATGTTGCTGCAAAAAACGTGATTTCATTCTTTTTTATGGCTAAGTAGTACTCCGTTGTGTATATACACACCACATTTTCTTTATCCAATCATCTGTTGGTGGACACTTAGATTGATTCTATATCTTTATGATCAGTTCTTATCTATATGAGGAGAAGAGCCTACAGTACATTTGTATGACTTCATGAGCACATTTTTCTGGGGTACCTACCTAATATATTTGTTTCCTTGTGGACTGAGGTCTTGCTACCTTGACTGACTATAAAATAAAAAGTTAAAATAACCCTTTATTCTATTTACTTTTCAAATACATTGCCGTTATTTGATATGTCTGTTCTTAGGATGGTGTGCCCATAAGAACTGGCTAGATTTGTACTTTAGTGATAGAAACATAAAAAGAAAGGATAGCATCCATAAAATGGGTTAAACTTTGGCCTGTGGAATGGCTTAAAGTTTACCCTGGTGCAATGATCTCTGGAAGGGCAAAAGTATTGCAAGAAATATGTCAGTTGCCATATGACCTTATTTTTTTTTTTTTAACAAATGCTACACAATTGCCCTTTATGAAGAAGAAAGGCTCTTGAGAGTTAGGAAATGGAAACAAGTGGCTTTTGGGGTTCTGTGGCTACAAAATGGGTCCAGCACCTTAAACAGTCTCATTTGAAGAAAATTAAATAACCAATATAAAATCCACTAGCAAGCCTCACTTCAGAATCTTTCCCTAAACCAAAACATTTGTTACTGCAGGATGAAACTGTTCCTTGCATGACTGCAGCCATTGATACTGCGGTGGAACCAGAAGCTGTAAGTAATTGGCCCCTTTATGTAGAATCAGGAGCTCTAACTGTGCCATTTCCTATAATTTATCACTCAATTGAAGAAGAGAACCTGTGATTGTTACCATCCTCCATGGAATGCCCTGGAAATCCAGAAATCTTTAGTGTAAATCTCAGCTTCATAAAATCCCTACCTTGGGTAAGCTCTATCTCTAATAGTATAACTGATTGTGGGTAGCAGGACTTCTCAAGGATGTAATGTTTCATATTTGTAATCTGGCTTACTGATTTCTTGTTATAGGCTAGTATTCTGCATCAACTATTCAGGAAGTTAAAATGAGGAGAGGAACAAATTAAGAAATTATGGCCATGTCAAAAAAGCATTAGAGGAGAAATAGAAGAGAATTTTTTTCTCAGCATTCTTTTCTATGGATAGGATACTATGGGCTAAAACAACCAAGGAAAATATTTTGAGTGCTCAGATCACAAGGATAGATAAAATGTATTAGATGTTGAATAAAGTTTATAAAGACAAAATGAAATGCTAGACAATGGTTTGCTTGAGACGAGACAGCCTTTTCCTTCTAAAATAACTATATGTCAGTAGTTTTCATATTCTGAACAAAGGAAAATACTAGTTCTGGTATTAGAAATAGCTGTGTGAGAATATATTAATTCTTTTCTCAATATTCACCATTCCTAAAGTGCCATTTCCAGGGCTTTCTTTCCTCAAAGGACCCCTTGGAATGAGGTAAAAGTAAGAAGTGTAGGCTAGAACTTAGAAATAAGGTGCTTGTGAGAGCAAGAAATAGGCTAGCTCAATTTATTTAGATGTTTAAAGCAAATGTTATATCAGAAGCCACAAATGTGAAGGAACAGACATATTGCTAATGGAGAAGTGATGTGAGATTTGACAAAACAGTGCCTAAGGAACTCCATTTACTTGTTTTTCTTATAAATCATTGTTCTGATTTTTTTCTAGCAAGTGGAAACCAGTCCAGAGATGAGCAGGTCTTCTGATGCTTTCACCACTCAGCATGCTCTCCGTCAAGCTCAGATGTCTAAGGAACTTGTTGAGTTGAATAAAGCCCTGGCACTGAAAGAGGCCCTAGCTAGGAAAATGACTCAGAATGACAACCAACTACAGCCCATTCAGTTCCAATACCAGGTAAACCATTTTCTAGGGCAGTATTTGTACATGACTATCATCTCTCTTTAAGTAAATGGGAAGAAAACAAGCACATCATTTTTGATGATGAAAAGACAACAAAATGTGCACAGTACAACTGGAGTTGTTTACGAAAAAGGATACATTCAGGATAGGGAACCTGTAATTTTGTTCTATTTAATCTAATGCCTTATCTTATGCCATAGGTGTTTAATAAATAGTTTGATAATGTTATAATAAATATGGTCCCTACTTATAGAGAAAATATGTTCTGATAACTATGCTTAGATTCTGAGAAAAGAATCTTTTAGTAAATGGTCTGGGTTATAGTGTGAATTATGAAGAGGTTATTCCAGTGTTTGTCTTTTTGGGTAAAAAATAAATAAAAAGTGAAAATTTAAAAAATTATGAAGACACTAGTGGATGTCACATGACTTGGCAAATGGCTCAACTTTGTTAAGTCTCACTCTGTCGCCCAGACTGGAGTGCAGTGGCCGCTCCTGGCCACCGCAGCCTCGACCTGCTGGGCTCCGGTAATCCTTCCGCCTCAGCCTTCCAAGTAACTGGAACTACAGGCGCGCGCTACCACGCCCGACTAATTTTTTGATTTATTGTAGACATGAGGTCTCACCAAGTTGCCCAGGCGGGTCTCGAACCCTCAGGCTCAGGCAATCCACTCACCTCAGCCTCCCAAGGCACGGGATTACAGGCTGAGCCACCGAGCCCGGCATGGCTCAACTTTTATCTACTTTAGTTCTAAGTAGCCCTTGCAAACTAACAATTAGGTCTTTACTTAAAGGCAAATCTTTAACTTTTGAATCACTGACCAAAAATGGCCCTTGCTCCAAACCTTATTTTCCCTTATAGTTAAGTGTTTCTCAGTGTCTGTGATCACAGAGGGATATTAGGATGTATGATGGGGGAAGGATGGATTGTTTTTCCATCCGGCTATATCCTACCACCCCCAAGTACTAAATGCTAACATTGAGAAACAGCTGTAGTAGTCATGCTTTTAAATACCAGCTTCCCTAAATTTTCAGAGTAAAAACAGGAAGACTTTCTCCTAGTTAATTTTCACCACTTTTTCCCTCTAGGATAGAGGTTACTTCCAAAATAATGGTTGACTTCCCAACTATAGAAGATGAGAATATAGCTGTCTAATCCTATCCACCCATGCATATTGCCTCACCTCCATCTCTCAAAATGGTTATAGCATACTTTTTGTTTAAATGCATAGTGTTTAAATTTCTCTGATTATGTAAATATGTTTAATGATTGAGCCACATAGTGTAATATGATTGCATTTTCTTAATTGTATGACTTTTTATATTTTCTGGAGTTACATCATTTTTTTCATTTGCTTAGTTTTCTATGTACCTGTCAATGATTTTATCTCCAAACATCTTGACAAAACTATAAAACTCCTCATTGTGGTAAAATGTACTAGATAATTTATTCATCCATTTCTTTCTTGAAAACAGTGTTCCTGGAATCATCTGTCCTTGTTTGCTTTCTGCCCAGCCATCAATCTGGTACCATCTTCTTGGGAATTTGCTTCTCTTTTCATCTCTGTGTTGAAACAGATCACATATCTTCCTCCTCTTAGGTATATCCCTTTGTTTTGGTGAAGTACAACCCCATTAGCTTCCTGGCAATGTATACTTGAAAGGAAAATGTTTTAAAGTTTTGCATGTCTGAAAATAGCTTTTGTTCATTTTTACACTTACTTGGCTGGGTTTAGAATTCTATGGAAGTTTTTTCTCTTTAGAATTTTGAAGGTCCTGCTTCATTGTCTTCTGTTTTCCATGTTGCTCTTGAGAAGTTCATATGATTCTTGATTCTTTGTATTAGGCCTATATTTTTTTTCCTCTGGAAACTTTCAGGATCTTTTCTTTGTCCCCAAGTATTATTTAATTTCACAATGATGTGTCTCGGTATGGCTCTTTTCTCATTTATTGTGCTTGATGCCTGTTGGGTCATTTTGATTTGGAATTTTGTATTCTTTTCTGGAAAGTTTTCTTGTATCACTTCTTTGAATGCCATCTCGCTCTACATTTTCTCTGTTTTCTTTTGTACTTCTCAGTCAGATAATAGATCTCTTAGATTTAGTTTCTGCTTTTTTTATCTCCTCCTTCCTTTCTATTTCTTTGTCTTTTTATTCCACTCTCTGGGAAATTTCCTTTCATTACTGGTGAATTATCTTATTTGCCTATTAATTTCCAAGGGCTCTTAGTCTTCTTTTGATCCTGTAATTGTCCCTTTTATACCTTCCCCCCTTTTTTTTTTCATGGATGCACTACCCATCTCTAAGGAATTACATTTTGTTGAGTTGTTCTCTTCTCCTTGCCTTGCCTCTGTTTCCTCCAAGGTTTTTTCTCTAGGGTGCCTGTTTTGGTCTCTTTAATGAAGATGCTTTCCTCAAATTTCTAGTGATCCTTGGCTGTCCATTAATATGTAAAAGTGAGGCACTAAAAGCCAATAGGAAGTTATATATATACATGGGTTTATCTTGGGCTAGTCAGTTTCCAATAAAGAAGTTATTTATTCTTCCTCCTGGATTGTGGGGGTGTAGTGGTGGTATGCCATCATTCTGGTAACCCAGAGAAAATAAGGGAGTTGGAGTCTCTTCAGTCATATGCAAATATTTATTTAATCCCTATCAATCTGTATGGTACATCATCCCTGCTGTGAGCTGTGTCTGATGTCTGTAAGTCTAGCCTCTGAGGTTCAATCTGTCCAGAAAAGAAGCCTCTCCTCCCCTCTGTGGTTGTGTGGCACAAATTGTCTTACTTCTTGGCATTCATCCTGTTAAGAGTTATATTTTAGCTGTTTCCATGCTGGAAGTCAGTTACTACTTATCAAGCTGTTTTCCTCTTCCAAAAGTCTATTGATATCTCTCAACTGCTCTCCTGTTTTGTGTTCATTCTTGTTGATTTATATCTCCTTTTTGGCTCATTTTAGTGAGATTTTAGAAGACAGCAAGTTAATTATGTAATTTAGTTGTTCATGTTAAACAGGATATACAATGCAGCCTTTTTTAGGTCAAGTGTATTTTGGCTTTTCCAGGATAAACAGAGGATTGCTGGTAAAGGTGAAAAATTAGTTCTTTCTTCTTGTTCTCTTCCCTACAAACATGGGGATGTGTCATTATACAAGGGAGACCCCCCAAAAAATCTAGAATTTATTTATAAAAAATTGTGTATTCATTCTTTCATGTTTACACTTCAGTTACCTTCTGTGTGATGCAGTACACCTATTAAGCTTTTGCCACTGCTCAGAACTGTTTTTGAACTCATCAATTTTGATGCCTTTTAGTGCTTCTACTATTTTTTGTTTTACCTCTTCCACATTGGCAACACATTTCCCTTTGAGGACTTTTTTTTATCAGGGAAACAAACAAACAAAAAAAGTCACTTGGGGCAAGATTAGGTAAATAGGGAGGGTGGGGCACGTGAGTCAACTCAGTGTGATATGGACAAGTTGTCCATGTAAGTCACCCATCATGAAATGAGCAAATGCATTGAAAGAATCTCCAAAAACAATTCACTGAAGCTGAACACAGCCTTTCACAGCAACCTAGCTGGTACACCGATACCACTGTGTTCCTAGAACTCTTACCTAGTAGGGGAAACCTGTACTAAAAGGGGCCCACCCTCCAAAAAATAATTCCAAGTTTTGGGGGGTTCTCCCTCATACTTGTAACCTCATAAGAAGGTGTTAATAATGAGCTGTAGCAGCCAGACTCGGTGGCTCAGTCTGTAATCCCAGCACTTTGGGAGGCCAAAGCAAGTGGATTGCCTGAGCCCGTGGGCTCGAGACCAGCGGGGACAACTTGGTGAGACCTCGACTCTACGATAAATCAAAAATTAGCTGGGTGTGGTAGTGCATGCCTGTAGTTCCAGCTACTTGGAAGGCTGAGGCAGAAGGATCACCGGAGCCCAGCAGATCAAGGCTGTGGTAACCGGGAGCGTGTCACTGCACTCCAACCTGGGCAACAAAGTGAGACTCCAACTAAAAAAAAAAAATACTCATAATAAAAATGTGCTATAGCTGTAGTAAGATATCTAATCCTTTTCCCTTGTTATCAAATATACTTGAGTTTCCAAACCTAATAGTTAAGAAGAAATAAATTCTTAATATAAACAGTACATTTTAATTACACGTAAGTCACCACCTCTCTTTTTCTAAGAAATAAAGACAGTTTTTAATTCTAAATAGTATTTTTCCTATCATTATAAAGAATTTCCATAGAAAAATCGGAGGAGGCATATGTTCAGATTCATGAAGATTACCATGAGTTGTAGTAAACCAGGACTCAAATATTTGAATAATTCCCCTGTAGAATTAGTGAGACAATTACTGACTAAATGCAGTATAGATAACTAGAAAGATACTATTTTTTACCTATCAGATTCATAACAGTTTTGAAGTGTCGTAGTATCAAATGTTGACAAAGATGTAGGAAAACAAGTACTCTCATTAACAGCTGGCTAGAGTGGAAATTGGAATAGTCACTTTGGGTGACAATTTGGCAATATCTGTTAAAATTGACAATGTGTATCGTCATGACCCTATAAATCCACTTCTCTCTAGTAAAGCCTTGTACAAGAATATGTCAGTATGGCAACAACAAAAAATCAGGTGGATCTATATGTACTGATTTAAATAAATCTTCAAGACCAAATAATTTTTTAAAGGCACGTTCAGAATAATATATTTACACAGTATAATTCTATTTATGTGTTTTGGTTTTTTTTTTTGTTTTTTGTGTCGTAGTCTCACTCTGTTTCTCACACTGGAGTGTAGTACCACGATTATAGCTTACGGAGCCGCAACTTCCTGGGCTCAGGCGATCCTTTAGTCTCTGCTTCCTGAGTAGCTGGAGCTGCAGGCGTGTACCACCATGCTCAGCTAATTTTTTAATTTTTTTTTTTTTTTTTTTTTTTAGAGATGAAGTCTTGCTATGTTGTTTCAGGCTGGTGTAGAGCTCCTGGCCTCAAGCAATTCTCCTATCTCAGCCTCCCAAAGCGCTGGGATGACAGGCATGAGCCATTGTGCCCAGTTCTATTTATGTTTAACACACAATTCACTTGGTATACACACACACACATATGTGTGTGCATATATTATATATTATTTATTTATATATTAATTATATTCTAGACATTTATAAATGTGTGGTACATAATATATAAAATACATAATATTTGACTCATTTGCAACTGCTGGCATGATTTTACCTCATCGTGGAAGACTGTCAGGTTTGTAATCCAAATAAAAATATAAAGTACGGAATGCTAGTCAGAATGGTGTCTGAGGCAAATACTGGATATGTCTGCAAATTTCAGTTGTATTGTGAAAAAGGTGACAGTTTAGAAAAGACCATTTCATTTGTGCTTAACGACAGAAGTTTGCAGCAACCAGCTTCAGACTTTTTTTTATTTTCACCTGCTCTCAGTATTAGGAAAATAAAATACTTGCCAGTCGAGAATATGTTAAATATACAGTCACACACCAGATAACAATATTTCAGTCAATGACAGACTGTGGTCCCATAAGATCATGATACTATATTTTTACTGTACCTTTTCTAGGTTTAGATATGTTTAGATACACAAATACTTTCCATTGTGTGACAGTTGCCTACTATACTGTACAGGTTTGTGGCCTTGGAGAAATAGGCTATGCCATATACCACAGTTAATATTTAATATAATGAAAGGATACAAAGAAAAATCAGCAAAGAAAGAGGCACTTGGGTAAAGTCTAGACAAAGCCAGGTATAAGCTTCTAAGAATTTTCTCCCTGTGGAGTCTCGGGAAGCACTTTATTTCTCTAGTAGTGTGTTGTTACAACCTATAAGAAATGTTGTCTCACCATACTGAGATACCACCTAACTCCAGTCAGGATGGCCATCATCAATAACTCAAAAAACAACAGATGCTGGAGAGGATGTGGGGAAAAGGGAACACTTCTACACTGTTGGTAGGAGTGTAAACTAGTACAGCCTCTGTGGAAAACAATGTTATGATTCCTAAAAGTTCTAAAAATCGACCTCCCATATGACCCCACAGTCCCCCTACTGGGTATATACCTAGAGAAACTCAAATCACTCTGTGAAAGAGATACCTGTACAAACATGTTTATCACAGCATTATTCACAATAGCAAAAACATGGAACCAACTGTGCTATCCATCGAAAGTGGACTGTTTTTTAAAAATGTGGTACATATGTATGATGGAATATTATACAGCCATAAAGAAGGACAAAATTATGAACTTCACAGCAACTTGGATGGATTTAGAGTCTGTAATACTCAGTGATCTATCACAGAAACAAAGAACCAAGTACCACATGTTCTCACTCATAAGTGGACCCTGAACAATTATAATATTACAAGAAAGGGATCGGCAGTAGTGGGAAACTACCGGGAGCAGGCGGGTGCAGTGGGGGATAAATCATATTGTTTGTGCAATTTAGGCATAATGAGCTATTCTTATCAGTTAGGGAATGGTGGCAACCCTACTAAAATCTAAGTTCCCAGACACAAGCCAAGGGCCGTCCTTGCAAGCAGGCCTTTTTAAAGATAGCTGTCTCAGGCCTGCTATATTAACTTTTCTGTACACAAACTAAAACTAAAGGAGATGAAGTTACTTTCCTGAAGATACTTAGTAAGTGTTGCAATCAAGACTCAAACCCAGGCATTTGGGTTCCAAACTTTTCCTACTACATAACTTTAATCTCCATTAATGCAAGAGCAATATTTTCAGTATGCAATTGAAGTGGTAATTTTTTTTTTTGAGTCAGAGTTTTACTCTGTTGCCCAGGCTTGAGTGCAATGGCACACTCATGGCTGTGGCAGCCTTGACCTCCTGGGCTCAGGCGATTCTTCCACCTCAGCCTTCCTAGTAACTGGAACTACAGGCATGCGCCACCACACCCAGCTAATATTTTTTATTTTTATTGGAGAGACAAGGTCTTGCCAAGTTGCCCAGGCTGGTCTCGAACCCCTGGTCTCAGGCAATCCTGTCACCTCCACTTCCCAAAGTACTGGGATTATAGGCGTGAGCTACTGCAGCTGGGTGAATTGGTAAAATTTAATGCATAGTTCTTTGCTTGTAAAATTTTGAAGTGATTTTCTTCCTGTGTCATGTAATGCTTTCTTTCTCTTTGACTTATAATATTTCTAGGATAACATAAAAAATCTAGAATTAGAAGTTATCAATCTGCAAAAGGAAAAGGAAGAATTAGTTCTTGAACTTCAGACAGCAAAGAAGGATGTCAACCAAGCCAAGTAAGAATGAAGTTAATAAATGTTATTTTAAGTACCAACTATGTGTGAGTGGTTTCGGAGGGAATAGAGAAACAGAAGACCCATTTACTGCCTCCAAAGGATTTAAACCTAGTTATGAAGAGGAGACCTAAATACAAGAAAAGTTAAATAATTGAGGTATTAAATAACATTGACAGTAAAAGAATGCCATAACAGGACACATGCCAAATAAATGTCTTTCTTAGACAGTAATTGTGTTAAGAGTTCAGAGGCAAGAGAGGTCAGTTCAGGCTGGTATGATCAAGGTAGGCTTTGTAAAAAGTTAGCATTTGCACTGGCTTTTGGAAGATTATCAGACCTTCAATACAGCAGCAGTTTATCTGTCCCTGCACTGATGGTAAATTTGCTTGTGAATAGAATTAATGTCCAGGCTACAGATTAAAAATTCAATCTAGCTGTATCCCTTATCAGTTAAGAATAAAATAAAGGTAGATAACCAGAACATGCCATTCTCCCTCAGACCTCTGCCATATTGGCTATTCTACCTTCTTTTTACTCGGTGACTGTTTCATCTCTCTGTTGAGTCTAAAGCTCATTAAAAGTTATGATAAATATTTACTTTTTATCTCAGGCTTGTATGATAATTGTCAGAAGTATTCCTTATAGCTAACATGAAGTGAAATACCTTCAAAGTGCCATCCTTTTGACATAGTTGGGGGGGATTATATTGAGGTAGTTGCATTGTTACATACTAAAAAAAAATGTTTTGCTCTTTGTATTAAGCTCCTATTAAGTGAGACAGTTTTGGTTATTTGGATGGTATTCTTTTTTTTCTTTTAAGATAGCCAGGTGATTAGTTGCCTCTTTTATATATATCAGGGTTGTGAATCTGGAAGTCTAGTATTACATCTCCTAAAGTCAGGTTTTGCGGATAGTCTTCACTCCTATGTCATCTGTGTTTAGGTTGAGTGAACGCCGTCGTAAACGTCTCCAGGAGCTGGAGGGTCAAATAGCCGATCTGAAGAAGAAACTGAATGAACAGTCCAAACTTCTGAAACTGAAGGAATCCACAGAGCATACTGTCTCCAAACTGAACCAAGAGATACAGGTAATTATTTCTTGTAATTTACTCCATTGGAATTTACAAACACAGGTATTCCATTTAGAATTATACTACAGAGGTATTTTCAGGTAAGACAATAGCAGGCAAGTGCAATCATTTCAAGTGTGTGAATTTCCACAAATACCCTTTTGCAGAACATTATGCTGATAGTCTTCTAGAATCTAAGTCATAAAACCTTGCTTTTATATTCAGAGTTTAATGTTAGATTCTCTGAAACCAAAGGACAAAGACATCTGCATACTTGGTGATATCCTGATCACTTTCCATGATCATGTGGCATAATTTCATAAAGTAGTAACAAGAAGATAGATACCTAGAGAAAATTCTTAGTTGCAGAATGCTCAACTTGTAACATCTACAAAGTGTTGATTCCAGGCCACTTATAATGAAACCTTTAGATTACAGTGGTTGCTAGGTAGATTTGTCCTTGAAGCATAGTAGATATTTCCTTAAATTTTCATTTATATACAGTAAATTTAGGACTAGATTTAGCTTTTAGGTACATTTTTCTTTTATTTCTTCAGAAAGTTCATTTGTGTAGTCTATACTTGGAAACCCTGAGCAAGCGTAGCAAAAGGTATTGCCAACCTAATCAGAAAACCTGTTGGTAACTTTCTCAGCTTATCTCTGGGTTTTCTCTCATCTTAATGGCAAGTCTGTCCATCTGCACATCAGCCTAGAATAAAATGCAGATGACTAATACTTGCACTGGTTTTTGTTTTTATAGATGATGAAAAACCAGCGGGTACAGTTAATGCGTCAGATGAAAGAGGATGCTGAGAAGTTTAGACAGTGGAAGCAACAAAAAGACAAAGAAGTAATACAATTAAAAGAACGAGTAAGTAACTAAAACTTCTCAAAGGCCTAACTAATAAACTCCTTCTCTGAGTTGAATAGCAATATGAATGCTTTACTTCAAATACCTGGTATCAAAAAATGTGACACTCATGAATTTAACAGCTTTATATTAAATACCTGCTATGTACAAGGTATTAATCTACTAGGCATCATTGGAAATAGAAAAATGAGAAGTACATGAACTCTACCCTTGAAGAATGTCTTGTCTAAAGGAAAAGGTAAGACATAATCTTGGATTTCTCAAATACAGGAACAGAGATCTGGACTTTAAGAATAGCATAAAATATCAAAGTAACTAAGAAAGGAAAGTATACTTCCAGTTGCAGTGAAAAGTTGATAGCCCAATAGGCCCTGAATAATAGGGAGGGTTTTGATAGAGATACATACAGGCATTTCAGATAGATGGTACAAAGACACAGAGATGACAACTTTGTAGATATGTTCAAGAAATGGCAAATGGTCCAGGTGGGATGAAGTACAGTAGTAGAAGATTCAAATGGAGATACAAATTGAAGCTGGATTTTTAAAGATCCTAGAAGTTTGAAGTTTATTTTGTTAGTAATATAAAGATTTTTTTTTTCTTTTGAATTGAAGTCTCACTCCGTTGCCCAGGCTGAAGTATAGTGCCATGCTCATGGCCACCCCAGCGTCAACCTGCTGGACTCCAGCGATCCTTCCGCTGGAACTACAGGCGAACATAAAGATTTTAAGGTTTTTGAGAAGCAAAGTTATATCAGCAAAATATTTAGAAAGATGTACCTAGGAGTAATTTGTGGAACTGTATTATTGAAAAACTAGAGGCCAGAACACAAATTACAAAGATAATATATAACCCAAAAAAGATTATAAGACCTGAATATATACCTAACAGAGCCCCCAAAATATAAGAAGCAAACACTGACAGAAATGAAGAGAAAATAGACAAATCAACAGTAATGCCATTTTCAATTATGTATAGAACAGTTAGGCAAAAGATCAGCAAGGATATTGAAGACTTCAACAATACAATACCTAGGATTTTTATATCCACATTTATAAGGGATATTGGTCTATAGCTTATATACAATGCTAGATTATAAACTAGACCTAACATACATCTATAGAATACTCCAACCAATAACAGCAGGAAATACATTCTTCACAAGTGCACATAGAACATTCTCCAGGATAAACCAAATGCTAGGGCATAAAACATGGCTCAATCAATTTAAAAGGATTGAAACAATACAAAATCTGATCTCCAACCACAGTGGAATGAAATTAGAAATCAGTAACAGAAAGTAATTTTGGGAATTAACAAATACAAGAAACTTAAACAACATGGTCTTAAATAATAGGGCAAAAAGGAAGTCACAGGGAAATTAGAAAATACTTTGAGATGAATAAAAAGAGACACAATATGCCAAAATTTATGGGCTACAGCTAAAGCACTGTTTAGAGAGAATTTTATAGTTGTAAATGCTATATTAAAAATGAAGAAAGGTACCTGTAGTCCCAGTTACTTGGGAAGCTGAGGCAGGAGGATCACTTGAGCCGAGGAGTTTCATACCAGCCAGGGCAACATAGTGAGACTGCGTTTCAATTTTTGTTTTTTTGTTTGTTTTTTGAAATGGAGTCTTACTCTGTCACCCAGGCTGGAGTAAGCCACTGCAACCTTGACACACTGGGCTCAGGTGATCTTTCCACTTCAGCCTTCCTAGTAGCTGGAACTACAGGCATGCACCACCACACCTGGCTAAATTTTTTATTTATTGTAGAGATGAGGCTCGCCAAGTTGCTCAGGCTGGTCTCGAACCTCTGGGCTCAGACAGTCCTCTCGTCTCTGCTTCTCACACCTGGCCCCATCTCAGTTTTTGAAAATGAAGAAAGATCTCAAAGCAATAACTGAGCCTTCCACGTAAAACAGTGAAGAAAAGAAGAGCAAACTAAACCCAAAGTTTAGGAAAGAAATATTAAAAGATTAGGGTGGAAATTAATGAAATAGAGAATAAGAAAAAAATAGAGAAAACCATTGAAATCAAAAGTTTGTCCTTTGAAATAATCAACAAATACTTACAAACCTTTAGGTAGCCTTAACAAGAATAAAAGAAAATTCAAATTGCTGAAGTTATGAATGAAAGAGAGAATATCACTACCAGTCTTACAGAAGAAAAGTATTATAAGGGACTAGTATCAACAACTGTATGCCAACAGATTAGATAGCTAAATGAAATAGACAATCCTTGGAAAGGCAAAAACTACCAAAACTGACTCAAGAAAGAATAGAAAATCTTTATAGACTCATAATAGAAAGCTAAATTAGTAGTTTAAAATCTTCCCACAAAGAAAATATCAGGCATAGGTGTCTTCACTGGTGAGTCCTATCAAACTTTTAAAGAAGAAATCGACTGGGCTCAGTGGCTCTGCCTGTAACCCCAGCGCTTTGGGAGGCCGAGGTGAGTAGATTGCCTGAGTCCGGGGGTTCGAGACCCACTGGGCAACTTGGCGAGACCTCATCTCTACAATAAATAAAAAAACAATTAGCCGGGTGTGGTAGCGCGCACCTATAATTCCAGCTACTTGGAAGGCTGAGGCAGAAGGATCGCTGGAGCCCAGCAGGTCGAGGCTGCGGTGGCCGGGAGGAGCCACTGCACTCCAGTCTGGGTGACAGAGTGAGACTTCAACTCAAAAACTAAAAATATAAAGAAGAAATAATACCTTTTTTTTCCAGAAACTTTCAAAAAATAGAAGCAGAGGAAACACTTCCAATCTCATTTTGTGAGGCTAGTATTCCCTGATAACAAAACCAAACATAGATATCACAAGAAAATTACAGGCCATTTTTTTCTTATGAATGTAGGCATGAATATCCTCCACAAAATTCTAGCAAACTGAATCCAGCAACATGTAAAAAGGATGATAAACCATTACTAAATGGGCTTTATCTGAAAAAATGCAAAGCTTGTTTAATATCTAAAAAACAGTTAATATAATGCACTATATTAGAATAAAGGACAAAAACCACATTATCATCTTGGTAGACCCAGAAAGAACATTTGACAAAATCTAACACTCTTTCATGATAAAAACACTCAAGAAACTAAGAATAAAAGGGAACTTTCTCAACCTGATAAAACAGCATGTATGAGACAAACCCACACCTAACATCATACTTAATGGTGAATGACAGAAAATTCCCCTAACATCAAGAACAAGACAAGAATGTCTTCTCTTGCCACATCTATTCAACATTGTCCTGGAGGTTCTAGCCAGGACACTTAGGGGAAAAAAAATAAATGAATGACATCCAAATTGGAAAGTACAAAGCAAGACTTTCTCTGTTTACAGATGACATGATCTTGTATGTAGAAAATCCTAGAGAATCTACTAAAAGTCTATTACAATTAATATGGTTCAGCAATGTTGTAGGATAAAAGATCAATATGAGAAAATCAGTTGATTTCTCTTCACTAACAATGAACAATGTGAAAATGAAATTAATAAAAGAATTTCACTTATAATAACATTAATACAAATAACATACTTAGGAATAAACTTAGCAGAAGTGTAAGACTTGTATACCTGAAAACTACAAAACATCCTTGAATTTAACTAAATAATACCTAGATAAATGGAAAGATATCCTGTGTTCATGAATGAGAAGATTTAATATTGTAAAGTGGAATACTCCTCAGATTGATTTACAGATTCAACATAATCTCAATCAAAATTCTATCTGGCTTCTTTGCAAAAATTCGCGAGCTGATCCTAAAATTTATATAGAAATACAACAGACCCACAATATTCAGAGCAATCAAAGGCAAGAACAAATTTGGAGATGTCACATTTCCTGATTACAAAACCATGTACAAAGTTACAGTAATCAAGACTGTGTGATATTATATAAGGATAGAAATAGAGATCAGCCAGGCTTGGTGGCTCAGCCTGTAATCCCACGCCTTTGGGAGGCTGAGGTGAGTGGATTGCCTGAGCCCGTGGGTTCGAGACCCGCCTGGGCAACTTGGCGAGACCTCATTTCTATAATAAATCAAAAATTAGCCAGGCATGGTAGCGTGCCTGTAGTTCTGGCTACTTGGAAGACTAAGGTGGAAGGATCGCCGACGCCCAGCAGGTCGAGGCTGCGGTGGCCAGGAGCGGCCACTGCACTCCAGTCTGGGCGACAGAGTGAGACTCCAACTAAAAAAAAAAAAAGAAAAGAAAAGAAATACAGATCAATGGAATAGAATTGAGGATTCAAATAAACTCACATATTTTTGACCAGGTGATTTTTAACAATAATGCCAAGGCAATTCAATGAGGAAAGACTAGTCTTTTCAACAAATGGTGCTAGAGCAATGTGATATTCACATGCAGAATAATGAAGTTGGAACTTGTCTCACACCACATATAAAAATTAAATTAGATTTTAAAAAACTAAATATAAAAGCTAAAACTATTAATATCTTAGAAGAAAATGGAGATGTTAATTGTTGTGATTTTGGATCAGGCAATAATTTCTTAGATATAACACCGAAAACACAGACAACCAAAATAAAAAGAGTTAAATTAGATAAAATTACAAACTTTTGCATTGTAAACAATACCATCAAGAAGGTGAATAGAGAGGATCTAAGATGGCCATTGTGGAGCAACAGACCAGCACCTCTCTCACTGAGCAAGGTAGAGAGTAAGGACCCAGCCACCAATACATGGAGACACCCTGAACAGTTTTGGACAAGTGAAGAACTTGCACCCAGCAAAGGTCTTTTTGAACACATAGAGACCAGAAAATGACAGCAAATGCTGGAACCTAGGCACCCATCCCCTGCCATGCACCAGGCTCACACAAGCTTTAAAGCTCTACTCAGTGAACAAGAAGAGGTGAGTGATCCTAAGATGCTTTGGGTCGGTTACCCTCCTCCTAGCCACATGTGATTTGTTGGTCACCTGCAGGGAGACTCCTGGTCAGGGCACAGCAGCAGGCAACCAGAGCCCAAGTGGAAAGGGAACAAA